GTTGCCACCCCTAGTTCCAAGAAAAATTTTTTATGAACATTAGCATGTAAAGAAGAAAAATCACCTTTAATCCATATGGAAAAGACGAAATGGATTAGACATTTTTTTGCCTTGAGAAGAGGATAAGATGGGTGATAAGGGGTAATACTTGGCTCTTACCAAGCTCTTGATTTTCATGTCTAAACCCCAAAATCTAGACTCTAAACTCCTGCAACTTAAACCCTAAACTCTTAAGTTCTTAAACCCTAAAATTATTATGTAAAATGCCTTTGGTTGGACATATATCCTCTAATCTGGTATAATACGAGCTAAATATTTTTCAGAATTAAGTGGGTTGTTGTGCAAGTTAGGTGGCGTTTGATAAATCTGAAAATTCAGATCTAAAAAGTTAAAAAGATATTAAAAGTGTTTGGAATTTGAAAAGAGGCATAGATGCTTTTCTACTTTTTAGAGGATCTGAATCCATAAGTTTGTTTGTGTTGGATCAACCCTTTACCATCTGAAATTTACTGATTTTACTATTTTACCCCTAAAACATACTATTTGGAAATGTTGAGTTCAATTTGCATTATCTCATAAAAAATAATTTTCATCCTCAAAATAATATTGAAACAATACAAATAAAAAATAATAAATTAATAATTTACACAAATAAAAATTAAAATAATTTTTAAAAATTAATGAAATAATTAAAAATTACTAGTTAATAAAAATAATTAATAAATAAAATAAATAAATTTAACAAAAAATAATTAATGTTTAATAAAAATGTAAAATTATTTATAATTAATAATTAATAAAAATGTAAAATTATTTATAATTAATAATTAATAAAAATATTAATATTATTATTCACTGAACCACTGCTGCTGCATGTTGCAGCGGTAGTGGTAGTGGTGGGAAGACAAGGGAGGGAGGGGGAGAGAGGGAGAGAGAGAGAGAGAACCGACAGGGGAGAGAGAGGTAGAGAGATGTTGCTGCAACTTGTAGTGGCGATGGCGAGAAGATAGGGCCGAGAGAGAGAGAGAGAGAGAGAGAGAGAGAGGGGGGGGGAGAAGAGAATTGGGAAGAGAGGGGGAAAGAGAGAGAGGGAGCGAGAGAGAGAACCGAGAAGACAGGGGGAGAGAGAGCTGTTGCTGCAATTTGCAGTAGTGGTGGCGGGAAGACAGGGCTGAGAGAGAGAGAGAGAGAGAGAGAGAGAGAGGGAGAGAGAGAGAGATGCTGCTACAAGTTGTAGCGACGGTGGTGGGAAGTGGGAAGACAGGGAAAGAGAGCAAGAGAGAGAGAGAGAGAGAGAGAGAAACAAACGAGTCTGAGCGTGCGAGAAGACAGGGGTAGCGTGTGTCATTTCCAAAATATTGTAAGAGCAACTTTGACCTTGCACCGGCTCTAAATGTGTCTGAGTGCGTTAAGAATCGGCCCAAGGTCTATATTTTCAGATCTGAAAATAAGATTCACATCAAGTTTAAGAGGTAAAACCAAACAAATGTGAGGTCTAAAAAGCAACATTTTCAGATTCAGACATCTGAAAAGTGCAATCAAATGACCCCTTAGCCATGTCCAAATGGAGATTTTTCTTATTTTTTGGTAGTGGATTTTTGTGACATGGGTTGGGCCTGGCCCAGTAAACTCTGGCTTGATTCAATCGGGTATTGGTCCTAGTTTACCTAAAAATGGATTTAGCTTGTTGTTTGCCCACAAACTTGCAATCTGGAGAGAGAGAGAATCCTATTTTGGATGGAAATGACTTATTTATATATATATATATTTTTTTCCTTAGATGATGAAGTTTCTCGAATCTTCTTATACCTGGGCCAAGTCAGAAAGGGTAACTGCCCATCTACCGGACGAAATTCACACATACTCCTATAACTTGTGCTAAATTGCTGTTCTGTAACAAAAATTAATCATTAGACCAGACCGATTAAGTTTCGGTTCAGGATGGTTTAAACCAGGTCTGTGGCAATTCACACATACTCTTACACCTGCACCAACCCAAACTGAGTCTAGCATATCTTATGTAATTTATGAATGCTATTGCATATGCATTGTCAAGAACTATAATCAGGTTGGATTGGGATTGGACTCGCTTATATTTGAATCCGATCTTATTTGTATCCAAACTTAAACTTGTGAACCTTTAATGAAAATATGGTATTTAAATTAATTTTATTAATAAGTATATGTTGATTTTATATAGTCATATACATATACATACTAATGATTCAATTAAATTGGGGTTGATGGTGCGTGATCTAGTCACTCTCTGTTGGAAGGCAGTTCGGACGTCGGATTAGTTACGTGGTCGGGTCGAACTGCAAGGCAAGAAGATTAGAGTGATCCGGAGTGCTTTATCCAATGTGGGCACTCTAATGCTTAATTTAGCAAAAGAGATTTGAGAGAGCTGATAGCTTTAGGATGATAGAATGCAAGAGCTAAATCACACGTACCTTGTGAGGCTGGAGGTGAAGCCTTTATATAGGCAAGCTGCTGTGGGCCTCACAATGCGTGTCCGAAATTACCAGCCCATCTAATCCGAAATCAGTTCCACACCCGAAGTTGGACTCCGAATAAGCTGACAAGGCTTATCTAGGTCCATCCGATTCGAATTGGGTAGAGATAAGATCTGTTGACATGCGCCATGATCACGAAGAGATCGAAAACAGCTGGCTTGCTTCTAAAAAGAGGCTATATGGCATCTTGACAGGTCGGTAAATGTGACAAGCAGTTTGCATCTCGGTCTAACCGATTGATCCGAGATAACTAGAACTAATAAGGTATGTAAGGATGTTGAAGTGTAGCCAAGTCATTGCATCATTCCGCATATCATCACATCATTGAACGAGCCAAACTATCCATGATGAGGAGTGATTCCATATCCAACCCCAATTTAAAAAAGGATCTAATTTTTTGAAATCGAAAGTCCGTTTAATTGAATCCAAATCAGCACCTCAACTACCAGTCTTTGGCCACTTTTCAAGTCTATCATCAAATGTTTGTGATGGGAATTGGGAAAAATCAAGTCTGATGTTACATAAAGCTTCCAACCAGTCTTCATGCTAATGTTATTAAAACCTCATGTAGATTACATAAATTAACATTTCAAACAGACTTGAGTCCAAAACAAGGTTCAAAACAATGTTTTAAAAATTGAACAGCAACCAGAATCATTATTGAACAGCAACCAGAATAATTTTGGCCACCGATTTCTCAGTTAGCGGTTCAACAGTTCGATTTGAAACCAGTGCAACTGTCTACGGGTTTGACTAACTGGTTCAACAGTTTAATTCTGATTCTTGGGTAGACGAGTTCATTCGTTTCTGCCATTTGCAGAAGTCATCAGTAGCGATGGATGGCAAATTTTAATGTCTAGAGTATGATGCAGGGGAAGCCTTAAAACTAGGGTGGATTGGGTTTGAGTGCTGATTTAAAAATGAAAACCCAACCCATCCACTAACTGACCACACCGATTAATAAATAATAACTTATGTAAATGGGTTAATGGGTTGCAAACCAAATCTAACCCACCACCAAGCAAGGTTCAAAATATTGATATGTTCAATATGTTGGTAGGGGCGTATCAGGTGATATCGATACTGTTTTTTATACTTTTTTATTTTTTTCAAAACCGGTTCAAGGCTCTTTCACCATTGAACTGGTCAAAAATCCGATACACTCACTATAAGGACATATCGGAAAGGTCCCAGAACAAGACGTATTAGTCAATACAGGCCGATACATGTTGATACTTTAAACCTTGTCACCAAGGATCAAAATTAATATAGGCATATCAAATTGTATCTTGACTGTACTTTTTTTGTAGGTTTCTTTTTAAACTGGTTCAGGGGATCGGTTTAAGGCCTATCTACCCCCAAAACTAAGTGAGATATTGAAATATTCAATACAAAGGCCTATTGAAAGGTTACCGATATGGTTAGTATCGTCCATATGTTCTGATACGTTGCCATATTTTGATCAACAAGATATTAGAGAGTAGGAGAAAAGGGCAAAAACCAAATGTTGTAGATAGCAGATGTAATGTGTGGCTCATGACTTTTAATTTAGGCTTAATTTGGAAACATATAAATACAAATATTTATATTGCAAATACAGGTTTAGCAATACAAAATATTAGGCTTTGCACTGTACCTTCCAAACTAAATCTTAGGCTGTATTTGGTTGCAATGCACATACTGATGTAAAACTATAGCAGTGCAAATGATTTGAATGTAAATTTTGACCTATTTTTTTTTTTAAATTTAGATTATTTTGTTTGATTGCAGTATAAATGAAGTAAATTAAGAAATAAAGCAAAATAAAGTAAAACCTAAAACAAAATTAGATGAGAATTTTTATTTATTTGCACTCCCATGCATTTGTACTAGTGCAAATAAAATTGCACTAAAACCAAACGCAGTTGGCTCTTTTTGGAAAGAATACAAATATTAATATGTACAGTACAAATACATACAAAATAATAAAAAAATACAAGGTTTTGAGCTCTATATATTTGTATTTGTACTCCTTCCAATTTGGGCCTATGTACAGTACAAATACATATAAAATATTATAAAATACATGGTTTTGCACTCTATATATTTGTATTTGTATTCATTCCAAAGTGAGCCTTAAGAGTACAAATACAAATATGTACAGTACAAACAATACAATATATAATGTTTTACACTACATATTCATCATATTTGTACTCCTTCCAAAGTAAAATTTAAGGCTCTGTTTGGTTGCAATGCAATTTTATTTGCACTAGTGCAAATGCATAGAAGTTCAAATGAAAAAAATGCAAAATCTCATTTAATTTTATTATGGGTTTTACTTTATTCTACTTCATGCCTTAATTTATTTCATTTATACTGCAATCAAACAAAATAATTTAAAATTTGAAGCAAAATAGATCAGAATTTATACTCAAATCATTTGCAACTAAACACAGCCTTTAAGTACAATTCATGCATTCACTAAACTAGTCTCCGATTCCAAAATTTATGGGCAAAAATCTCATATGGGACACCATGGTTCTTCTGTTAATTCGCAAGGAAACGAGAAGAATGAGAAACCAGCTGATTCTTTAATGAAAGCCAAAACCGAAAAGCTGGAGGGTGAGAATGAGAAACAGAATCTGGCTAATGGAGACCAATATTCCCTCCTTTATTAAAGCAATGTAGGTGGTGTTTGGACGTGCACTTGGACGGTACCAATTTTATAGCAAAAATCAATGATGAGACTCTTGTAGTTGCCGACGAGAGCTGAAGTAAAGCTAAAGCGTGACGATAAAAACCCCATTGAGGATAATTGGATAAGTAGACTGCACTCCCCCTCAGATCGACCTTTTCATCACCTATCTTCTTCCATGAAACTACTTGTGATCGAGGCCCAAACAACACGAAAATTATTTAATTTGTTCAGAAATCCATGGACAATTAAGAAGACCCATTTATAAACAAGAAGCTCAATCGATCAATTTGTCATTCCATTTCTTTTGCAGCTATAGACTCCATCCCCTTCTGTCGCCATGGCCAAGTCCTTCTCTTCTTTCATTATTTTCTTAACCTTTCCCCTTCTTCTTCTTCTTCTTCTTCTTCTTTTCATTAGGCCTCGCAGCTGCAAGTAGCAAACCTCGTGGCTTTGTTCGAACTCTCTTGCCGGAGTCCATGGGGCTTAAGCGAGAAAAGATAACCCACCTTCACTTCTACTTTCATGACATTGTTAGTGGCCGCAACCCGACGGCCATCCAAGTTGCAGCGGCAGCATCAACCAACAGATCACTGACAAGGTTTGGCTTGGTGGTAGTGCTCGATGATATCTTGACTGAAACTCCAGAGCTGACCTCAAGGCAAGTTGGAAGAGCTCAGGGGATGTGCAGCTTCGCATCACAAGGTGATTTGAGCTTGTTAATGGTCTTGAACTATGCCTTCACTCATGGGAAATACAACGGAAACACACTCAGCATCCTTGGAAGGAACTCTGTACTTTCCGAGGTGAGAGAGAAGCCGGTGGTCGGAGGGAGTGGGCTTTTCAGGTTCGCTCGTGGCTATGCTCAGGCAAAGACTCACACTCTTGACCCTAAAACCGGAAATGCAGTTGTGGAGTATAACGTTTTTGTAGTCCATTATTGAGTTTGAGCCTCAATAATACATAGAAACCACGTATTCGTTTTCTTCTGATTTCAGATAAGCGTTAATGGAGATGATCGATTTGTATTATTTGTGGGATTTGAATCTTTTTATTCAACAGAGAAAACTTAAATTTGGCGTTTGGCTTGGCTTTGTCTTCTCCTTAATAAAGAAATTGAGGAGGCTGATTCCGAGTTAAAATATTAAAAACTTTCAGAATTTCCCTTCTCTCTCTGACTCCTGTGTCAAAAAGAGAACACAGAATTTCCCTTCCTCTGGTTCTAAACCCATAAGTCTGCGTTTGGAAACAATGCAAATGGAGTGTAAATTCTGGTTCAGGATAAATTTGCACTCTGGTTCATTTTTGCCTGTGTTTGACAATGTTATATTTTTGTATTGACAAATGACAAACCAATGCATATTTACATTGATAATAAGATATAAAAATATATTAATAAAAAAGAAATAAATTTGTATTCAAGTGGGATTTTGATAAAAAAAAAAACATATGCTTTATTAGAATTTCTGTTTGCATCCATTACAGCTAAAAGTCTGTTTGATAAGAAGATAAATTTGTCAATGCAAAATTAATCTAACTTTATAATTTATATGAACCCTTTTACATTCTACATATTTGCATTCACACATATTTACATCATTTTCAAACACAGCCTAAAAAATGGTCTCTCTGTTTTTGGCCTTTCACACAACTGACTGAGGCTTCAAACATCATTTATTCCTCAGTAAGGCTATTTTGTCAATGAACATACATCTCAAGATCAGCCATATAAAGCCTCCTAGGTTCCTGTAATTTGCCATTAATCCCATTTTCAAAGATGAGTGAAACCCTTTACTGAAAGACTTTTGGCAAAGAAACATGCCTAACCATGTCTTTTAACTATTTATATATGTCTTGGTTGGTGCAGAGAAATTTCTATGACAGCTCTTGGAAAGCTCTAACTGCACAAAGAAATTCGTCTGGATTGGGGCCCAGCCTGACCCTCTCTGAGTGCAAGGTTCAAAATATGGCAACAGGTGGGTATCCACCAATATTCTAAATGAGAGTTAGGTTATTCAATTCTTTTTTAACCTTAATAGCTGATGATGTGACATTCCTCACTCAAATTAATAAAATGAAAAAAGAAAAGTGTTTTCCACAAAAATTTAGCATATCAAGAGTAATCAAGTATGGAACGGGATTATTTGTCAACTTTCCAAGTTTTCACAGCACCCCAGTTCTAGAAACTCTTATTTCTGAATCCTGGAAAGGAAAAATAGAAGATCAATTAGGTGACAATTTGCTAGTTGGTATGGTGTCTGGCTGGTTGTGGTGGAGACTTGCGATTGAGTCCTGCCTACACCAGGAGGGTTGGTGGGTTATGGGTTTAGGGGATGGGGGTAACCCATCCCCCAAAAAGATAATTAAAGTGTTCTGTTGAACTTCCTGATTATCCCATCCTATAGATGCATTTCCATAAACCAGATTAGTTGTTCTGTTAAGTTAGGAATAGAATGAAGAGAACATAAAATTAAACTGATTCCTTTAACTCTAAACTAATTAAATAATTTGCCACAAAGATTCCTAAATTTCTTATACTTTTATTCTTCACTAGCTAGACAATCCTCTAGTACATCCACCTAGCTCCTTTAGCACAGTCAGTCTTGGGTGCTTAATTAATTTTGAGATAATAGCATATAAGGACAAT